TCACATATTGATAATTTTTATAATACACAACACATGTCACATAAATGATATCTATAATACACAAAACACGTCACATAAGTGATATCTATGATACACAACACTCGTCACATTATTGATCTCTATGATACACAATACACGTCACATTAGTGATCTCTATGATACACAATACACGTCACATTAGTGATCTCTCTGATACACAATACACGTCACATTAGTGATCTCTTTGATACAAAATAAACGTCACATTGCTGATCTCTATAATACACAACACACGTCACATTAGTGATCTCTATGATACACAATACACGTCACATAAGTGATCTCTATAATACAAAATACACGTAACCTTAGTGATCTCTATCATACACAACACACGTCACATACGTAATCTCTAGGATACACAATACACGTCACATTAGTGATCTCTGTCATACACAACACTTGCCACATTAGTTATCTCTTTAATACACAATACACGTCACATTTGTGATCTCTATAATACACAATACACGTCACATTGATGATCTCTATGATACACAACACACGTCACCTAAGTGATCTCTATGATACACAACACTTGTCACATTAGTGATCTCTATAATACACAACACTTGCCACAATACACGTCACATTAGTGATCTCTATAATACACAATACACGTCACATTAGTGATCTCTCTGATACACAATACACGTCACATTAGTGATCTCTATGATACACAATACACGCCACATTAGTTAGCTCTTTAATACACAATACACGTCACATTATTGATCTCTTAAATACACAACACATGTCACATTAGTGATATAATACACAATACACGTCACATTAGTGATCTCTCTGATAAATACACAATACACGTCCCATTATTGATCTCTATAATACACAATGCACGTCTCATTAGTGATCTCTATGATACACAATACACGTCACATTAGTGATCTCTATAATACACAATACACGCCACATTAGTTATCTCTTTAATACACAATACACGTCACATTATTGATCTCTATAATACTCAACACATGTCACATTATTGATCTCTATAATACACAACACATGTCACATTAGTGATCTCTATGATACATAACACATGTCACATTAGTGATCTCTATAATACACAAAACACGTCACATTAGTGATCTCTATGATACACAATACACGTCACATTAGTGATCTCTATGATACACAACACATGCCACATTAGTGATCTCTTTAATACACCACAGGAAACCTCAGTAGGACTTTCAAATAATGTTGTTATATTGTTTTGATTGAGCCATGCCATTTTTATCAGTGATAATTAGATCTGAAGCTTCCAAAGATAGTTTGCTATTGGACCACCATATTGCGGCTTCTTGACACAAATTCGTTCAGAAATGACATAAAAATTCGCGCGCAGATTTTTATAGGGAAATCATTAAATTAATCAGCGAAGATGTATACCGTCATTTGCTCCTTAGCATTAACTCTATATCTGATGGCAAAGATAAAACTACTAAATTACTCCTTTCAGTAACTTTTCAGTGAAGCTTTTTCGTTTATTTTTAAAGAAGGAAATGGTTGTCTTTATGTCTTCCTCTCGAACTGTACTCGACTTTTACAAGCATTTTCAAGCTAGTTTATAGCGCCAATTAATGGAGACGGTACACATTTTCCCCATATCTCGCATGAGGTGGGAACGAAGTTGGAGCGAGGGGATATCAATGGTGTTTTACGGGCGCGGATCTGACTGTTTTCTGGCCAATAATGTGTTTGACAAGCCAACATGTGACAGATACTGGCACTAAAATCGTTTCTTCATGCGAGCTTGTTATTAGCGTGTTAGCAGCAGGATGAGAACCACATTCGAATACGAAAATTACGAAAAGAAATAGACCTTTCAGGATTGTATGATTGCAAGCGTTTGTATCTGGAAGAGATAATATGAAAAAGAATTTTATCTGTAGTGTTAGACCGTATCTAACAGCACCGGGAACTGAGCTGAGGGGAAATCCGTGTTGTACCTCCCAAACCGCTTCACGTCAGCCAGGTACATGTCAAAACATACATGATGACCAAATAGGTAATAGACATGCGCGTGGGTTTATATTCAGTTGCACTTCTGGTAAATGGTTTTGAAAAGAACAGTGATAGGTGTACTGTCTTGTAACCACGGCGCATGACTATGTGCTCGATTGCACTTTGTACTCGATGTGTCTTATCATAGGTTTTATCATTTCTCTTAGAGCCATTATCAAAATCGATATCAATGTAACCTGTTTTAGTGTACCATCAAATACTCATTGGCCTTTTCGTCAATCAATCAATCAATCAATCAATCAGTCAGTCAATCAATCAATGTCACGAAATCAACGTTATTCTTAGTCTCCATAGTATTGAATCGCCATTGTTCAATGAATCGTCTTGAAGTCTTCAAATACATTTTTTTCGCTCTACCTAGCATTTTCTTCAGCTGTGTTCCCTCATCGAACCATCGTTGTCCTTGGTTTCATTTTCATCAAATCAGCATTGTCCTTGCTATCGAATAAGCGTTATTCTTGATTTAATCATCATGTTGATTTTGGTGTCGTGAATAAGTGTCCGTCTTTGTTATATAGTCGTCGAATCACTGATTTAACGAAATATGGCATCGTCATTAAGGTTTTTCTTGGTGATAAATTGTTCTAAATTCGACCCCTAACTGCAGGTCATAATCTACACCCAATCGTCCCTCGGAGAATTAACAACTAATAATCCGTACTGTAAGTGACATCTGTAAGTGTCCGTCCTATATTGGACGCCTACTTGTCCGTCCTGATGTCGACGCTTTTTCGTGCTATAACCGATGCCTATATTTTCGTCCTATAACCGATGCCTATACCTTCATGTATGTGCTAAAATCGACGCCTACACCTACGTCTTACAATCAACGCCTATTTGTCCGCCTTATAATCGACATCTAATTTTCCATTCAAAATTTTACACTTTATTGACTGTCCTTTAATCGACGCACAATTGTTTGTCCTTTTATTGACGCCTATTTATCTTTCCTATTATTGACACCTAATTATTCGTCCTATAATTGACGCCTACTTATCCCTCCTATAATTGACGCCTACTTATCCCTCCTATTATTGACGTCTACCTTATCCGTCCTATTATTGACGCATACTAATCCGTCCTATTATTAACGTCTATTTATCCGTCCTATTATTGCCGCCTACTTATCCCTCCTATTATTGACGCCTACTTATCCCTCCTATTATTGACGTCTACTTATCCCTCCTATTATTGACGTCTACTTGTCCCTCCTATTATTGACGTCTACTTATCCCTCCTATTATTGACGTCTACTTGTCCCTCCTATTATTGACGTCTACTTATCCGTCCTATTATTGACGCATACTAATCCGTCCTTTTATTGCCGCCTACTTATCCGTCATATTATTAACGTCTACTTATCCGTTCTATTATTGACGCCTAATTATCCCGTCCTATTTTTCACCGTCCTACACAATACATATAGTTTGTAATTACCGTTAGGTGATGACGCCATTTCGCATGCTTTGAATATCATACTCTCGAGCGAATTCCAGATTCTCACAGATAAGAAGTGCTAATAATCATTTCTTTGCCGTTCTGTAATGATTTTTTGCTGTGTCTTTCTTGAAGTTATTCACTTTTTAAACCAAAATCATTATAGATACAGAGTTAGAAATAGAACTAATTAACAGATTAACTTTTTAGATATTTTGGTAAATAAGTGCAAGAATGTTGTACCAAAAACGGTCATCGGGGGAAAAAATGGTGTCTACGGCTGTCTTCCGGAATCAATCGTCCATGTTTCACGGCGCATTTCGATTAAAACGTGAGTACGCCTTGCTGTGTACCAGTGTGTTTGTCTCTGAGAATGCCGACGATCTTCTCTCGTTTATTCTCCGATGAATTATACCGCACTAAAGCCGTCAAAACCAATATTCATTCAGTATGTAATAAATTCATCACGGCATTTTACCGTAAAAATAGATTTTTGCATAAAAAGCGTTTAAATTAGTCTCTCCCAGCTCTATCGACCTTACAGGGTGTCGAAGTCGCCGCGGAGATGTGGGGAGGACGTTCGTCCTTGGTTAGTGAAGCTTCCCTGTCGATTGATGCTCGTCAATAACACCATTTCGATGATTTATGGGGGAAAAACTCTAGGCCCGTTGCAGTTGTGAAGGTAAAATCGACTATCGTCTCCTTGCGCGCGCTAATAACGCCCCCATCAGCTAACACGGGAACCGTATAGTACTGTCAGTGAGATGATTACTTATCATGTCTACATCGGTTGTACGCACTTGTCGAGATGACATGTAACTATGGGGTATTACGACACATGTCTACAACCGCGCTTCACGGCATCCGGTTCCGGTTACGTTGGTTGCCCTGCACAATACACAAAAATGCCATTCATTCCGGTATTTATTTAGCAATGTCACACGAATAAATTCTAAACGAAAGCGTTGTAAAAGATCATTACAAAACCATGATTTTTTTTAAACTACAATTTCCAATTGGAGACATGTGTGAATAACGCCATCTTGATAGCTACCTATAGCCTGTATCACAGGGTTAAGGACGGTTGGCCTCTGACATTGACCTTGAAACAACTTTGACCGTGAAGTAATTTGTATGGCTTCACCATAATCAAATGATTTTCATGATGAGGAAAGAGAATGTTTCCAGAAGACAACATTCTAATTTAAAATGGTACAACTTGTGGTAAATTATTCATTATATTTCATAATTTAAAATATTAAGTCAAGTTACATGGACGCTGTGGAGAAGCGGTATTTGACGTCCAACAGAGAGGCAGACCTTCCCGTTTAACTTACCGTCTACCCACGTCACCGCCATGACGATTTCACACGAAAAAACTAGTTCGAAACATTTTTGATTTGTTAGGTTATTAGGAAGTAAACGTGACAAGAACCACGCAGTGCTTTGCTTCTATGTACTGTTGCCTAAACGTGAGTCTGACTGTTTACGCGGGCGGGACTGGTTCCACTTCTGGCTCCGCCTCAAAAGCAGTGTCATTGATGCCGTCAGCAGCGTCATTTGTACGTTTGATATAAGTAGGGATCAATAGCGTCTTGTAAGCCGTAAGAGGCTAGCAGTGTGAGACAGATGTTCATTGAGTGTGTGTGATCCACGGGTAGGTGTTACGCAGTTTGACCAGAGACAGGCGTCGAATCTTGCTAATCTGTATGGAAATTGTGTGTTTACACTGTTGTGATTATCAGGCGGCGTGCCATCAGCAGCCGATACTTGCAGTGAGACGTGGTTACAGCACTAAAGGTATATAAGCTGTATGGTGACGACAGTCGGGCTCCACTGATGCCCTGTAGATATCTACGATGAACCTTCCGTCTTAAAACACTTCCATCTGTGGTCATCGTAAGACATTTTTTGACACGTGATCATTTCAGTGGTCAATTCAAATGTGGTCGATGAACCTGTTGTCGTGGTACTTCCGACTCTAGTCACCATAGACATTTTTGACTTGTGGTCAATTTAAATGTGATGCGACGTGAAGTTACTTGTGGTTCGTGGTTGAGTTACGTCATTTTGGTTTTTGTGGCTGTAGCCACCTGTTTGTGGTCAGCGTTACGCTCGCGACGTGTGGTCAAACGACACATGTGGTCAGTTGACACTTGTAGCACTTAGACGTCTTATACTATTAGTGGCACATGGGGATTACAAAACAGCGTGATAATATTCAATATTGGTAAGTATATATTTTTTCTATGGTCTCGAAGATAACAAATTCAATATTTTTTATTTCTTAACCAGATATATGGGCTGTACCTATTTGCAATTTTTGTAAATAGGGATGCAAATAGACACGTGGTATTGCGAAATCCGGAGAACGGTGGCGAGGGATGGTCGAGTCTGGCCAGACGGAAGCTTCAGCACCTGTTAAGCAGGGAGGGCTACGCCCGGTATCTGCTTCCTTGTATTTATATCTCATTGGAATCTGACACTAAAGCATGGCAGACTTACCTGGTCGAATTTTCCGTAAAATTGAAATAAGCACCAACCCGGAAATGGAAACCATCTGTAGCTTGTGATTGCCATCTTATATCCACCGTAATATTGGCGTTTTTGTGGTTTTGATTAAACACGGGGATTAGTTGAGTGATAGAGCGCGTGGTGTTTATGGGGGAATGACACTGGCAGGGAGGTTTTAAGTCTGTCGGAATGGAAACCCGAGCTATCATATACATGAAGCGCTTCTATTTACTGTCCAGAGTAATTATTAATCTAGAAGTGTGATTACGCTTAATGTGATAGCGTACATGCATCGTATATACATGTACATGCACAATTGTCCATGTACATTCTACCAATTCATGGACGGACGGACAGACAGATGTACGTCATACATAAAAATATATGTATTAGAAAATTACAGGAATCCATACAGAAATGTAAGCATACAAAAAACGTACAGAAATAGAGAAAAATACATTATACATGCATGTGTAATTACAGATATATACAGAAATGTATGCATAATTATACATATAGGAATGAAACATATGGACAAAAATACAGAAAATCACATACATATGTACATGTATAAAAGACTGTAATAAGATGGTGATCTTCATTGTTCGAATTTGAACAGCTCCACCAAGTATAGTATGTATTCAAATTCAAACTATGCATGTAACTTGTGCCCAATCCTTTTGCTTTTTGGCAATAAAATATGTTTAAGGGACATACTATATTGTGCATGCATTGTATTATATATAGTTTACCTGTCAACAGACAGTAACGTAACGAAATTATTTTGCATCAACTGACAATGGTTTTCTTCGCTGTTAATGGCCGTTGATGATCAGTGTTTTTCGCTCTTTTAATAACCGCGGACAGAATGTTAAAAACCACTGACACAAAATAGTGTTAGACAATTGTTGATTATCGCTATCAGAGGGTTTGTCGGTCTGCTGACCGCTGTCAGAGTTTGTCGGTCTGTTGGTAACCGCTGTCAGGGGGTTTCTCGGTCTGTTGATGGCCGCTGTCAGAGAGTGTGTTGGTCTGTTGATGACCACTGTCAGAGGGTTTGTCGGTCTGTTGATGGCCGCTGTAAAAGGGTTTCTCGGTCTGTTGATGGCCGCTGTAAAAGAGTTTGTCAGGATGTTGATGACCGCTGTAAAACAGTTCGTCAGTCTGTTGATTACAGCTGTCATAGGGTTAGTCGGTCTGTTGATGGCCGCTGTCAGAGAGTTTGTTGGTCTGATTATAAACTCTATCAGAGTTTGTCCGTCTGTTGATGACCGCTGTCAGAGAGTTTATTGGTCTGTTGATAAACTCTGTCAGAGTTTGTCGGTCTGCTGATGACCGCTGTCAGAGAGTTTGTTGGTCTGTTGATAAACTCTATCAGAGTTTGTCGGTCTGCTGATGACCGCTGTAAAAGGGTTTGTCGTTCTGTTGATGACCGCTGTTAAAGGGTTTGTCAGTCTGTTGATGACTGCTGTTAAAGGGTTTGTTGGTACGTTGATGACCGCTGTAAAAGGGTTTGTTGGTCTGTTGATAAACTCTATCAGAGTTTGTCGGTCTGCTGATGACCGCTATAAAAGGGTTTGTTGGTCTGTTGATTACCGCTGTTAAAGGGTTTGTATGTCTGTTGATGACCGGTGTTAAAGGGTTTGTTGTTCTGTTGATGACCGCTGTAAAAGGGTTTGTCGGTCTGTTGATTACCGATGTCAAAGGATTTGTCAGTCTGTTGATGACCGCTGTTAAAGGATTTGTCAGTCTGTTGATGACCGCTGTTAAAGGGTTTGTCGGTCTGTTGATGACCGCTGTAAAAGGGTTTGTCGTTCTGTTGATGACCGTTGTCAGAGGATTTGTCAGTCTGTTGATGACCGCTATTAAAGGGTTTGTCAGTCTGTTGATGACTGCTGTTAAAGTGTTTGTTGGTACGTTGATGACCGCTGTAAAAGGGTTTGTCGGTCTGTTGATGACCGTTGTAAAAGGGTTTGTCGATCTGTTGATTACCGATGTCAAAGGATTTGTCAGTCTGTTGATGACCGCTTTTAAAGGGTTTGTCGGTCTGTTGATAACCGCTGTTAAAGGGTTTGTAGGTCTGTTGATGACCGCTATAAAAGGGTTTGTTGGTACGTTGATGACCGCTGTAAAAGGGTTTGTCGATCTGTTGATGACCGCTGTCAGAGGATTTGTCAGTCTGGTGATGACCGCTGTTAAAGCGCTGTAAAAGGGTTTGTCGGTCTGTTGATGACCGCTGTAAAAGGGTTTGTCTGTCTGTTGATTACCGATGTCAGAGGATTTGTCAGTCTGTTGATAACCGCTGTCAGAGGGTTTGTCAGTTTGTTGATGACCGCTGTAAAGGGTTTGCCAGTCTGTTGATAACCGCTGTTAAAGGGTTTGTCGGTCTGTTGATGACCGCTGTAAAAGGGTTTGTCGTTCTGTTGATGACCGTTGTCAGAGGATTTGTCAGTCTGTTGATAACTGCTTTCAGAGGGTTTGTCTGTCTGTTGATTACCGATGTCAGAGGATTTGTCAGTTTGTTGATAACCGCTGTCAGAGGGTTTGTCAGTTGGTTGATGACCGCTGTAAAAGAGTTTGTTGGTACGTTGATGACCGCTGTCAGAGAGTTTGTCAGTCTGATGTTGACCGCTGTCAGAGAGTTTGTTGGGCTGTTGTTGACCGCTGTCAGAGGGTTTGTTGGTCTGTTGATGACCGCTGTAAAAGGGTTTGTCAGTCTGTTAATGACCGCTGTCAGAGGGTTTGTCAGTCTGTTGATGACCGCTGTTAAAGAGTTTGTTGGTACGTTGATGACCGTTGTAAAAGGATTTGTCAGTCTGTTGTTAACCGCTTTCAGAGGGTTTGTCAGTCTGTTGATTACCGATGTCAGAGGATTTGTCAGTCTGTTGATTACCGATGTAAAGGGTTTGTCAGTCTGTTGATTACCGATGTCAGAGGGTTTGTCAGTCTGTTGATTACCGATGTCAGAGGATTTGTCAGTCTGTTGATTACCGATGTCAGAGGGTTTGTCGATCTGTTGATGACCGCTGTCAGAGGATTTGTCAGTCTGTTGATGACCGCTGTTAAAGGGTTTGTCAGTCTGTTGGTGACCGCTGTAAAGGGTTTGTCAGTCTGTTGATAACCGCTTTCACAGGGTTTGTCAGTCTGTTGATTACCGATGTCAGAGGATTTGTCAGTCTGTTGATTACCGATGTCAGAGGGTTTGTCGATCTGTTGATGACCGCTGTCAGAGGATTTGTCAGTCTGTTGATGACCGCTGTTAAAGGGTTTGTCAGTCTGTTGGTGACCGCTGTAAAGGGTTTGTCAGTCTGTTGATGACCGCTTTCAGAGGGTTTGTTGCTCTGTAGATGACCTCTGTCAGAGGATTTGTCAGTCTGTTGATGACCTCTGTCAAAGGGTTTGTTGGTATGTTGATGACCGCTGTAAAAGGGTTTGTTGGTCTGTTGATGATCGCTGTAAAAGGGTTTGTCGGTCTGTTGATGATCGCTGTTAAAGGGTTTGTCGTTCTGTTGATGACCGTTTTCAGTGGGTTTGTCGCTCTGTAGATGACCGTTGTCAGAGGGTAAGGTCTGTACATGACCGCTGACAGAGGGTTTGTCGATCTGTTGATGACCGCTGTTAAAGGGTTTGTCAGTCTGTTGATGACCTCTGTTAAAGGGTTTGTTGGTATGTTAATGACCGCTGTATAAGGGTTTGTCGGTCTGTTAATGATCGCTGTTAAAGGGTTTGTTTGTCTGTTGATGACCGCTGTTAAAGGGTTTGTCGTTCTGTTGATGACCGTTTTCAGTGGGTTTGTCGCTCTGTAGATGACCGTTGTCAGAGGGTAAGGTCTGTACATAACCGCTGACAGAGGGTTTGTCCATCTGTTGATGACCGCTGTTAAAGGGTTTGTCTGTCTGTTGATGACCGCTGTTAAAGGGTTTGTCGTTCTGTTGATTACCGTTTTCAGAGGGTTTGTCGCTCTGTAGATGACCGTTGTCAGAGGGTAAGGTCTGTACATGACCGCTGACAGAGGATTTGTCGGTCTGTTGATGACCTCTGTCACAGGGTTTGTCGGTGTATTGTTGACCGCTGTCAGAGGATTTGTTGGTCTTTTGGTGACCGCTGTCAGGGGGTTCGCCGGTCTGTTGATGACCGCTGAGATTGTATTTTCTTCTTTTATAAATGTGAGAATTTGCCACCATGTTAAGGGATATTATCGACTGATTGTTTAGAAGTATTATTTGCAATGGTTCTTAACTTGCTTTGTCAGTTATATTTGCAGGTTTAAATTTTGTATGTTGTATAACAGAAATATATGACTGTTTACGAAACGTTTAAATGTATATAAGGATGGGCAATTTTTCACAAACATCACCAAAAAACATCTTTACAATCAGCAACATCAAAGATGTGCTGTTCACATGGTTATAATATATCAATAAACGAACTAATCAATATGAACATCTGTCAAACCGCCGTTTGTAAATAGTAAATACGTCATAATTAACTTGTTCAATTTTCCTCTTGCTATTAAACAGAAACTTCATCGTATAGGTGTAGTATAGCCATATGTACAAACTATCTTTCGATGTTCTTAATTTTTTTAATCTCAAGCTTTCTTAAAATATTGTTTTTTGTTTCGCATATTTGTTGTTGTTTGACGAAAGGCTTAGATGTGACTTTTTACAGACATCAATTTAAAGTTTCAATATGGCCTCTATCACATCGTGACCTTTCTAACGAACACACACCTTTACAGTTTAAACGGTTGAATACAATTTGTATATCGATGTATAACGGTTGAATTTTAATTGGGTGGTATGTAAGTATATAAATGTCTGATATCGTTTGTTTATCTATATTTATGGCCGTTGCACGACATTTGTATATATTCATGACGGTTGAATGTAGTTTGAATTTCTATTATAACGTTTTAAGGAACCCTGGCCCACTTACTTCACTGTGGTTCCAATTTTGGCGGTATAACGGCGGTACCATTTTCGCGGACGAGGTAGCTCAGTAAGTTCGAGCGAACAATCTGAAGTTCAGAGTCTGAATTCCAGTCTAGTCACGCTTAATTGTATAATCAGAACACTGTTTCGATTATTTATTTATATATTGTTTAACAATTATGGCTGTACACAACACAGTTCCGTTCACACATATTCTGCAGGATGCCGGTGCTACCGCAAATATGTAGCATGTAGTAACGAAATATGTTTAATTTTGGAACCGTGTTGCATACCGTCATAATTGATAAAAAGAAACATTTCAATTTTTGAAATTAATAAATGAAATATTTCGAATTCTGTACCTGGGTATAACAGTCGGTAAAGCCGTTCCAATAATGTATATAATTGTTACGTAGACTCCAGCGGTTTTTGGGAAGCGCAAGAGTGTCTGCGTTACATAAAGATTCCCTTGGTATTCATTTAATTATCACATAGATAAGTTTCATGATCAGGGCGGTCTAGCTTGTAACGTCATTTTCATAAATTTGTGTTAAAGACAGTCTTTGTCTATCGCTGCCCACTTCGGATCATTTTTAAATGTAGAATTTGGAATTTGCTAAAGTGTCTAAAATAAATCTGCAGTACTCTATGCAACATTTTAAATATTTCCTTTCTCACGTTTTAATAGCGCCTTCCTTGATAATACCTCATCTATGGCCTTAGTGTAGAACGTTCGCCAAATTGAGAAGGCAATGGGTTCTGTCCCTAGGCTGGGGCATTCCAAAGTTCTTAAAAATAGTAGTTGTTATTTCACTGCATAACCTTCAGCATCGTGGATTAATGCGACCGGGCGGAATGCTGTGCTGTGTGACTTCGGCATGGTATTTATTGAGGTAGCACTATCAAGTCGGCATCATATCCGTGCTCCGCATGGCGACAATTCCTGCAATACTGCCTCCAGAGCACATCCAGGCATTCGGAACACACATGCAGGCATTCACAACACACATGGAGGCATTCAAAACACACATACAGGCATTTATAACACACATGCAGGCATTTACAACACACATGCAGGCATTCACAACACACATACAGGCATATATAACACATGCAGGCATTCACAACACACATGCAGGCATACACAACACACATGCAGACATTTACAACACACATGCAGACATTCACAACACACATGCAGGCATTCACAACACACATGCAGGCATTAACAGCACACAGAGGCATTCACAACACACATGCAGGCATTTACAACACACATGCAGGCATTAACAGCACACGGAGGCATTCGCAACACACATGCAGGCATTCACAACACACATGCAGAAATTTACAACACACATGCAGGCATTCACAACACACATGAAGACATTTACAACACACATGCAGGCATTCACAACACACATGAAGACATTTACAACACACATGCAGGCATTCACAACACACGTGCAGGCATTAACAGCACACGGAGGCATTCACAAAACACATGCAGGCATTCACAACACACATACAGGCATTAACAGCACACGGAGGCATTCACAACACACATGCGGGCATTTACAACACACATGCAGGCATTAACAGCACACGGAGGGATTCACAACACACACGCAGGCATTCACAACACACATGCAGGCATAAACAGCACACGCAGGCATTCACAACACACATGCAGGCATTCACAACACACATACAGGCGTTCACAACACACATACAGGCATTAACAGCACACGGAGGCATTCACAGCACACATGCAAACATTCTCAACACACATACAGGCGTTCACAACACACATACAGGCATTCACAGCACACATGCAAACATTCTCAACACACATGCAAACATTCACAACACACATGCAGGCATTCACAACACACATACAGGCATTAACAGCACACAGACATTCACAGCACACATGCAAACATTCACAACACACATGCAGGCATTCACAACACACATGCAGGTATTCACAACACACACGCAGGCATTAACAGCACACGGAGGCATTGACAGCACACAAGCAAACATTCACAACACACATGCAGGCATTCACAACACACATGCAAACATTCACAACACACATACAGGCATTAACAGCACACACGGAGGCATTCACAACACACACGCAGGCATTAACAGCACACGGAGGCATTGACAGCACACATGCAAACATTCACAACACACATGCAGGCATTCACAGCACACATGCAAACATTCACAACACACATGCAAACATTCACAACACACATGCAGGCATTCACAACACACATACAGGCATTAACAACACACATGCAGACATTCACAACACACATGGAGGCATTCAAAACACACATACAGGCATTCAAAACACACATGGAGGCATTCAAAACACACATACAGGCATTTATAACACACATGCGGAGGCATTCACAACACACATGGAAACATTCTCAACACACATGCAGGCATTCACAACACACATACAGGCATATATAACACACATGCAGGCATTCACAACACACATGCAAACATTCACAACACACATGCAGGCATTCAAAACACACATGCAGGTATTCACAACACACATGCAGGCATTCACAACACACACACAGGCATTAACAGCACACGGAGGCATTCACAACACACATGCAGGCATTCACAACACACACACAGGCATTAACAGCACACGGAGGCATTCACAACACACATGCAAACATTCTCACCACCCATGCAGGCATTCACAACACACATACAGGCATTAACAACACACATGCAGACATTCACAACACACATGGAGGCATTCAAAACACACATACACAACACACATGCAGGCATTCACAACACACATGCAGGGATTCACAACACACATGCAAACATTCACAACACACATGCAGGTATTCCCAACACACATGCAGGCATTCACAACACACATGCAGGGATTCACAACACACATGCAAACATTCACAACACACATGCAGGTATTCCCAACACACATGCAGGCATTCACAACACACATGCAGGGATTCACAACACACATGCAAACATTCACAACACACATGCAGGTATTCCCAACACACATGCAGGCATTCACAACACACATGCCGGCATTCACAACACACATACAGGCATTTACAACACACATGCAGGCATTCACAACATGCAGGCATTCACAACACACATACAGGCATATATAACACACATGCAGGCATTCACAACACACATGCAGGGATTCACAACACACATGCAAACATTCACAACACACATGCAGGTATTCCCAACACACATGCAGGCATTCACAACACACATGCAGACATTCACAACACACATGGAGGCATTCAAAACACACATACAGGCATTCAAAACACACATTCACAGCACACATGCAGGCATTAACAGCACACACGGAGGCATTCACAACCCACACGCAGGCATTAACAGCACACGGAGGCATTGCCAGCACACATGCAAACATTCACAACACACATGCAGGCATTCACAACACACACACAGGCATTAACAGCACACGGAGGCATTCACAACACACATGCAGGCATTCACAACACACATGCAGGTATTGTCAACGCACATGCAGGCATTCACAACACACATGCAGGCATTCACAACACACATGCAGGCATTCACAACACACATGCAGGCATTTACAACACACATGCAGGCATTCACAACACACATGCAGGCATTCACAACACACATGCAGACATTTACAACACACATTCAGGCATTCACAGCACACATGCAGGCATTAACAGCACACACGGAGGCATTCACAGCACACATGCAAACATTTACAACACACATACAGGCATTCACAACACACATGCAAACATTCACAACGCACATGCAGGCATTCACAACACACATGCAGGTATTCACAACACACATGCAGGCATTTACAACACACATGCAGGCATTCACAACACACATGCAGGCATTCACAACACACATGCAGACATTTACAACACACATTCAGGCATTCACAGCACACATGCAGGCATTAACAGCACACACGGAGGCATTCACAGCACACATGCAAACATTTACAACACACATACAGGCATTCACAACACACATGCAAACATTCACAACGCACATGCAGGCATTCACAACACACATGCAGGTATTCACAACACACATGCAGGCATTTACAACACACATGCAGGCGTTCACAACACACATGCAGGCATTCACAACACACATGCAGACATTTACAACACACATGCAGGCATTCACAGCACACATGCAGGCATTAACAGCACACACGGACGCATTCACAGCACACATGCAAACATTTACAACACACATACAGGCATTTATAACACACATGCAAACATTCACAACACACATGCAGGCATTCACAGCACACATGCAGGCATTAACAACACACACGGACACATTCACAACACACATGCAAACATTCACAACGCACATGCAGGCATTCCCAACACACATGCAGGTATTCACAACACAAATGCAGGCATTTACAACACACATGCAGGCATTCACAGCACACATGCAAACATTTGCAACACACATACAGGCATTCACAACACACATGCAGGCATTCACAACACACATACAGGCATTCACAAAATACATGCAGGCATTCACAACACACATGGAGGTATTCAAAACACACAAACATGCATTTATAACACACATGCAGGCATTCACAAAACACATGGAGGCATTCAAAACACACATACAGGCATTCAAAACACACATGGAGGCATTCAAAACACATATACAGGCATTTATAACACACATGCAGGCATTTACAACACACATGCAGGTATTCACAACACACATACAGGCATATATAACACACATGCAGGCATTCACAACACACATGCAGGCATTCACAGTACACATGGAGGCATTCACAGCACACATGGAGGCATTCACAGCACACGGAGGCATTTACAACACACATGCAGGCATTCACAACACACATCCAGGCATTCACAACACACATACATGCATTCACAAAACACATGCAGGCATTTATAACACACATGCAGGCATTCACAACACACATGGAGGCATTCAAAACACACATACAGGCATTCAAAACACACATGGAGGCATTCAAAACACACATACAGGCATTTATAACACACATGCAGGCATTTACAACACACATGCAGGTATTCACAACACACATACAGGCATATATAACACACATGCAGGCATTCACAACACACATGCAGGCATTCACAGCACACATGGAGGCATTCACAGCACACATGGAGGCATTCACAGCACACGGAGGCATTTACAGCACACATGCAGACATTCACAGCACACATGCAGGCATTCACAACACACATGCAGGCATTCACAACACACATGCAGGCATTCACAGCACACATGTAGACATTCACAACACACATGGAGGCATTCACAACACACATACAGGCATTCACAACACACATGGAGGCACGTCTTTAAATGACCTTAACTGTTAGTAGGACGTTAAACCCATTAACACCAAAACCAGTCTACAAACGCACATTTCCTGTTACAGATGACCCCTCTTCAAAATTAACTTTGCCGCCATGTTTACAAAACTATGCAGTTCACGATTCAGAGGGTCCCTTACCTATTGTCGCCATGTCGTCAACTTTACCTTTAATGTTACAGATAGCCTCTAAGCTGTTGCTTCGATGTCTTCGAATGTAAATTATTGCTTATAGATATTCCAAAGCAATTGCCACCATGTCTACTAAAGCACATTGTGTTAAAGACGGCCTCTAATTAAATACTGCCATGTCATCAAACGTTCATTTTATGTTGCAGATGGTCCCCTAGCTATTTTCGCCATGGACATATGCAATCTCTTGGTCACGATGTCCCTGATGGGCGAGTCCCTGTACGTCCTCTCAAACAACGATGACGAAAAACCTTTGACAAACAACATATTCCCGGAGAGACACAGAATCCCGTCTCCGGACATGTTTCCGGGGCAACACATGAGTCCCTCGCCGTCTAACGATCCCAGACCGTTCATACACCTTCCTCCATTTAACGGTCAATATAGACCAAGGAAAAAGGACCTTAAGACAAAGAAATTGTTGAAAAAACTCGGTGAAAGCTTTATGCCATTTTGGATGTCCATCGAATCTCCATTAAGTTCATCCTCTGATTTTGACTTTGTGACTTTATCAACTGCAGAGCAGAGCAATATAGACGGAAGATTGGCGGAAGACTTTGACCATATAAACTTCACCTTCACCAATCGTAACGGGCTGGTGGTAGACGTAGGCGAGGAAAACATCGAACTCTTCAAACGGTGGCTCATCGTGCATGGCACGTGCCAGGTCACGTATGAGTGGGAGGACCAGGGTCCGCTGTTTTGGCCACGATGGATAAAAAAGGGAACATGTTCCAATGACGTTTCATGTTCCTGGCCAATCGGAATGCACTGTGTCCCAAAAGAGAGTAAAATGGTTCAGTTACTTCGATGGAACTGCCGCATGAGAAGGCCGAGAAAAGACTTCCGACGGAAACATTTGAACCAAATAATGGCTGGTGTAACGAGAAAGCGGAAAAATCGTAAAAAGCGGATGAGATGTCGATGGATTAAGGTTCAATATCCGGTCACTGATGAATGTTTCTGTTCGTGTTAACTAATGCTAGATAGTTCACTTGTGTGAACTTGAAACACATTTTACACAAATGCTATTGAACTCGTGGTTCTGGGACACACATATCCAAACACGTGGCGCGTCGTTCAACTCCTGACAGTACGGCAGATCGGATTGATACATTATATGTTATAGGATAATGATTTGTCACAATCGATCATTGCAGTGCCACTAGTATACAGCATCGGTAAATACTAGTACTGTGGCCACCACTGACACCTGGACTTAACGCTGAACAGTTTTGTCAAGTTAGACAAATATAGGGATTTATAGTGTACTAGAAGAAGACGAACAGAAGAAAGTTTAAGTGGGCTGTTTCCGCTAGGCTGATGTAGAGGAGAATTTGAGTTATAAACTACATTGTACCAAGACATTTTCTTTATAAGATATTCATTAAAACGACAGTTTATATTTCTTAAGAAACTTTCTAACGGTATCTTCAAGAAGTCTTGACATTCAAAGTTCATATTCAGTAAAACCCCAATATAAGGCCCCATCATTTTAATTGCCACCTCGCATAACGAAATTAAATATTTCAAGGTCCAATTTTTATTCCTTTTTCATCAAATCCGTCATACGTCTCAACCGTTATTTATCAACTAACCCCTTTATAATGCCAAACTCTTGCGGGACAAACAGTGGCAGTATAACGAAGTGTTATGGTATATATGCATATTTGCAAATAAAACAATTTCAACATCCTGTTATCTCGCACTCTATTAACAGTTCGATGTTCATATGTAGGTTCAGAGTACCGTTATAGCTGCGTATTATCTTTTTCAATTGTATCATTAAATACAAATGTAAGCCCATCCGATAGTCTTCAATTCAGGGGAACCCAAGTGTGTATGTTTTATTGAAACATCGATCGACGGCTGCCTTGATCGATTTTTGTGTTGTTGAGAATTTCTTAGCTATGTTATTAATTTTCAAAAGGCGTTGATAAGTGGCAAATATTGCACGTGTCCCTATCCGCGGTCGCAGATGGCGCAAGATTTTGTGTGAATGAATACGTTCACGAGTGCACGTAGCGCGCGACTCGGAATGTGTATATATTTCCGCACAATAAACGAGTTCTATCTGTGACATAAGATGGAGAGATGTGTGATGTTGCATTTACGACATACCCAGAACTGATTGTTAGGTGCATATTGCATTTTCTGAAGAAGAAAAACAAACAAACTAAAAGCTATCCTGTTTCAATGTTGTTCTTTATTTTTTACGTTGACATTGAGCCTTCGGAGCTTTCCGGCTAAAGCTGTAGTCCCGCAATTTAAGTGAAAGTGTCAACGATTCATTCATCTCACATTTGATTGTTTTAAAGTTACGCTGTTTTGGAAAAGTTCTGACGTCATTGTTTTACACAGCTAATGTCGGACACATCGGGGAGTAGAGGGAGGCTATCTCCTATTTCGAACAGGCGCGTCCACCATTTTGTCATATCAAAATCTATATATATATATCAACATCGTAGAATGTAGACAAGGCTACGTGCTGAACCGGAAGTGAAGTTACATACAGGTTTTGTAATTCTATGCAACTGACGGTTTGTTGTTGAAATTGAACTGTTTTGAATATTCAACAGTGTCTATAATTTTATTTGGTTCAGGGAACTACATTTCTGCGCGAGAAGTTATATTGAGTAACGCGCCTCAGTCAAAATAATCACCGTGGACTTTCATACGCAGGTTAGGATATGGTAGTATATGTACAGTTATGAGTTGAGAGAAAAAAAACACTTGGATACACCTTGGAGGTCACAATGGTAAACGATTTGACCTGATGGTATGATACAAATCTGACGAAGGTGACAGATCATCATCGAAACTATAACAGATTAATAACCTGTATACGGTTGTGTCTAAAACATTGCTTTACATGTATATGAATTCAGCATGTTTTCAGACAAACTCTGGTAGACAAATAAAAGACACTGTACTAATTAAAAAAAAAGTCGCCTGCAAAATTTCTCCATATTTGTTATTTTTCAATTACCAGCAAAGTTGTCAGTCGTTCAAGACAAAACCCTCATACATTTTAGAATTTGCCAACAATTCAATTCATTTATTTGCCAACGCTATAGTTACCTCGCCGTGATGTTCGGATACAAAATTATTCCCAAACTAATCTTTTTCAAGATTGAGTACACATTTTTTGTTTTTTGAATTTATTTAACCAAGAAATAAAAAAAATTCTTCGGTGAGTTTGGCTCCAAAATCCGTTCTGTGGTGAAATCCCGTCTGTGATGCGGCATGACGGGATATTATTCGCTGCCAATACAAAACTCAGAGGAATCGAGAACGCGCAAACTTGGCACTTTGAGAGGCTGGCTACAATAAAAAGCATTCAAAATAAGTTAATTTTATGAAAAAAATGTAAATATTTATAAATGAAGGCGTCGATGCTGTAAATGACAAAAACGTCTAGGCCTCATGTAGATTGTTTGTCCAAACATATTATTTACAGTTGACAGAGGAGTAAATGTTTAATTTATTTACTTATTTTTGCATCGACCTGCTACTATTTTAAATAGGTGCTTCCTTCCATCGTATTTTTAGTGTATCGGAAATGGACTAGACCGATCGTCGGCGACCTGGGAGCTAAATCGGTAACGGGTCCTGTGTTCGAATCCCGGTCTAATTGGGGCATTTCTCTCTATTCTGTTACAACATTTGCAAGCATGCCAACCTTAATAATGGGTGAGTGCTTGGCAAGGGGGTTTCCTAATCTAGGTTGTAAATAGTTGTTCGGGGGCGAAATCTTAGAAAAAGGAGGGAAGAATGTAGCGGAACTGGACTGGGTCGATCGTCGGTGACCAGGGAGTTCAATTGGTACAGCGTACATTTATAGTTCGGAGGATCACGGGTTCGAATCACTGACTGGTCGTTGCATTTCTCTTTTTCCTGTTACACTTGCTAGGAGCATTGTTTGGTGATCATGTATTAGAATGCACGCTCATTGTATCCTTCGTTCGGCATAGAAATATGATGTGGGAAACAGACTTAACTATTTATAACTCAATTGTCAACTTGACAGAGAAATGTTGTTTATTCACGTCATTCACTGAAGTAAACAATAAAGTCAGTATTACATAAGATAAGAGATACGTGATTAAATGGCGTTTTTAAGGACAGCTCTATTATCAATAAACATGCACATCTCTGAAATGCTTGAAACGCTGCCTGCATATATCATCAACACTCAGATTCGTGCCAACGCTTGTCTGCTGATGACAAGTCTGGTCTCAAGGACCTCTCCAACAATCGACTAGAAAACATGTCGGAACCGCCATACAAGTGGGCCGGTCCTTATTGTTATATCGCTGCGAACGCACTAGGAACGATTTTCACGCCTTCATGTAATCGTAATCAGAAGTGGATAAGTAAAAAACGAAATATCTGCTCTCTCGGAGAACTCCGCGGGATTGCAAGCAATTATCTCCCCTTGCATGCAGGGTGTAATCAGCATCATGCCAGGCTCGTCGATGAACGTTTCATTAGAAAATTAATTTACGAGTTTCAACCTTGGCAGGCTTTTAAGATTTATAATTTGGGCTACAAGGTATAATCGTAACACCGTCTCTTACACCAAATGATCTTATGCCTAAGTCTGATATTCTTCACCATATCAAGCCATACATTTTCTGTGTAACCCTTTCAATGTAAAGTACATTGGGTGTTATTTTGAGGATCGACAGGGAATCAAGCACGCTAAGACGGAGAATCGTCCTTAAACAGATACATAAGTTAAATATTTTTGACTTTTCTATGTTTATTTTTGAATTTCAAATGAACTTAATCATGAACAACCTGTTTTATGGCCTAAATTGCAGCTTGATTTAAAAACCTGTTTTTAAAAACAATTTCTCCCCAACTAAACCAGACCGACAAGGTAGTTGAAAAAAGGAGTTTGACTAGACTGAAAGGCTATCTTGAAACGCAGCTGCTACGAAATGTTTATTTAAAAAAAAACAAGTCCGTATTAACTATACATACGTATTACACCAATGTTAAATGTGGGTGTGTCCGGCCGTGCGCCTATCTTAAACATTTTCAGGTAAACTTGTTCTAGCCCTTGAAGTAGTGCTATCATCAATTGTATATTAGAGCAGTCAATGGTTGATGTTGTAACGGATTTGTCAAGCAAAACAAATAATATAAATATGGGTTGTGACAGATTTCATTTTAGTTTTACTGTATACTTCATAAAGTAAACTTTGTACGCGGTGGCCAAGTGGTTAAGGCGTCTGACTACCACTAGCCCTCCACCACTGGGTCGCGGGTTCGAGAGGGGCAGTCGCCAGGTACTGGCCGTAGGTCGGTGGGGTTTTTCCGGGAACTCCGGCTTTCCACCACCACCAAAAACCTAGCACGTCCTTAAATGATCATACATGTAACTGTTAATAGGACGTGAAACACAAACAAACCAAATTTATACTTAAAATACATTAAACATAATAGCGAGGATGTATCAGCAAGTTAAATGCGTAATGTTCATTTCGAAATCACCCCGAAGGTTTTAACGATGTATGTCGTCATCAATAGGAAAACCAAAAAATGTACGATCTCTGTCATGCAGCGTATGTCCTCTATCAGCGAGTGCACAACTCAGTGATAAGTTAACAAAAGATTTTAAAACATAACCAAGGACAGTATTGCACATTTAACAATACCTAACGACTGAATGGAAAGCTCCTCCCAAACCCCGATAGGAAAGGGACGTGATCCAAAAGGTGAGATTAGGGTATTGATATATATGCAAGACCACACACTCGTGTTTTTCTAACGAATCAAAAAACACGAGTTTATTGCGCGGACGAATATATACGTCCGCGCAATAAATGAGTGCTTTCTGATTCGTTAGAAAAACACAAGTGTGTGATCTTGCTTTTATCACATAACTTCCGTATTTGGTAGAGATCGGTACAAAGATTGTATAAACTTTGATATTTTTTTGCAAATACCGGGAACTTTTCAGTTCGCCATGACAAGGGGATTCCCATAAAAAGTAGTTCCGGCTAGTAGGTAAATACCACATTCCGTAAAGCACATGTGCAAACAGGACGCTGTATTTCATGGTCTGAAAGTTGCTTGTATTACTATAACAATATTCAACAGGTATGTGATAAAAATCGTATTCTTCCAAAACACTGGCATGGTTTGTGACCAGAAGATAGAGAAGATGGTGTACGTTCCATATATAGCAGGATAGGGCCCGATATGGAAACTAATTGGGATGTGTACTTGTTTAAGACTTTAAAAAGTTCTCCTCCTTAACCTATGCATGGATTTTTAACCTTATCTATGAATCATTATTTAGGAAACTCGATTATTTGTTAAAATGACGTAATCGGTTACGGGGCTAAATTTTTGTCATAAACGCTCGAGGAGGTTTTGAAGAAAATCTTCCGAAAAATGCCATAGACAAAGCTTGATTGTAATATAAAGCTACCTATTGTATGAAATATCTGGACGGCAGAATATATACCGCGCTGGACCAGGAGAGATGGCTACAAATGTAGAATAAAGAAAGGAATACTTGCTATTAAAAATTGGAAAGGTCTTCATCAGAACAAAGATAAGGCAAAAGGCAGTGCACTAGATCGTGTTTTTTTTTTAAAGAGATCAGCAAACAGGGTTCAGAAAATAAAGATCTTGTACAGACCAGAGGCTCCCATCCAACAAAAGTTCCAAGATATTTCCTTCAAAGGTTTTTGAAGCTTATCGCTGGCCGTCCAATTTTCAATGTGTCAAAAGCCAGGTTTGAGACTAAAACAATCTTTGGGAGACGCTTCGTCGACCATTCTGATCACATGTCAAACTCACTCGATAGATGGGACTTCATGACGAGTATGCTAGCTTTACGAAGCACCTAAGTTTTGGAGACCTCCCATGAGATATTTATGTCCACAGCCTAAAGAAAGAAGTCTGATAGATACACGTCTTTGTCAATGCTACTGGTCAGGTCAAGTTATTTTTCAGGAAGGTGAAGCTATCAAAATTTCTCAGATATGTAACCTCAATCTCAATTCCATGTCCGCGCGCACGCCGCAGAACAGGAAAGCTGTCGCAGAGGAATCAAGTTCTTTGGTCGTTGCCTTCAAATGGCTATGGTCGGAGAAGCAACCGTTGCATTAGTAGTGGGCGATAGTTCCAGCATCTGCCGCGAAGAGAGTGGTAGCGAACATGAAACTGAAAAATGTGCGTGCAAAAACGCAATCGTGCTTGCCACCGTATGGAATTGGGAATGGGTTAGAAATGGAGCTGTTTTCCAAAACGTGAGCCTTTATGCCGTCGTGGAAAATTGTTATTAGATTGATTAATATCGTCGGTCTCGGACAATCAGTGTGGGCAAAATGATCGACCCACAAGCCCTTCAATGTTGTCTTTCTAGGTATCCATCTTTATATGACCTAACTGTTGCGAGTATTTTTAACCCCGATGAAAAGTAAATGTGTTTCAGTCAACGATCGAGACACCTTGTGCCTATAAATAGACTCGCGGTCGTATGCTGGCTGCCATTCTCTTGATATTATGTGTTGTCAACTCTTTGGAAAATATGACGGCTCATTTACCATTTGAAAAGGTTGTCTTTAAGTACTTGCATAATATTGTTTTTGAAAATTCTCTATTTTATCAGTACCAATCAGGATTTATGCCTGGCCACTCAGCTGTGTATCAATTAATCGAATTATATCATAATATTTGTCTTGATCTAGAAGAAAAGAAGCATACTTGTTTAGTTTTCTGTGACATCTCAAAAGCTTTTGACAGAGTCTGGCATAATGGTTTATTAGTCAAGTTAAAATCATAAGGTATCTCAGGAAATTTCCTTTCTTGGATCGATAACTACTTAAGCAACAGACAACAGAAAGTGTTTATAAATAACTCTTCTTCTGATGCTGGTTTGATATGTGCTGGAGTTCCTCGGGGTTCAATTCTTGGACCATTGTTTTTCTTAATTTAAAT